CTGCGATGCCCCCACTCTCCTCTTGCGTTTTTTCCAAATTTTCCAGAAACGTGAGTTTTGGCATTTTCAATCCATTTTCTTTCGATTTTTATATCTTCCAATCCGTAATCCGAATCAACAAGTTCTCTTCACAAATATTGTAGATCTCATATTCTATTTCTACAATATATTTTTCTTGTATTTTTTTTTTGGTAATCACAGGTCATAATATTTAAGTTCGAATTTGGGAAAAAACACGAGTTCTTACCGAAAATAACGTTTTCTTGAAACTCCGATTTTCGTCCAGAAACTTCAAGAGACCTATGTGAATCTAACTTTAGTTACATACCTCAAAAACTCCAAATCTAATGCTCAAGAAACTCCTCATGTCTAGATAAAATCGAAACAAGAAGTTTGGAACCTTACTTTGTTCGTTCTCGGATTTTCTTACCGGAATAAGTGAATCCACCACCCAAACTCCTTTTCCCGCACCGAGAGAAGTATTACTTCGAATTTTCTTGCCTTGGATTCGATCTCCAATGGCGGTTTGTCTTCTCTGCTCTTCCTCTCTCCCAAACCCGAACTTCTTCTCCTTTATCCTTTCTCTCTCTCTCTCTTTTTTTCTTTTCTTTCTCTTTCTTTTTGGAGCCCAAACAACTAGACCCCTTAGGTAAGGTAGGGGCAAAATGACCCTTTTGCCCCTATATTGTTATTTTTATTTTTTATTTATTTATCTAAAAATTCGGGTATTATAATTTTAGACTCGTGTGGTCGGTAAAAATTTGAGTTCTCTCTGTACAGGTAGTGTTGCCAAATTTTCAGCATGAACATTCCAGCGGTCAACTCCAGGTCGTGGGTATGGTAATTCTTTTTGTATTCTTTTAGTTGACGGGACACGTATGCAAAAACATTACCGTGTTGCAATAACACACATCCTAGTCCCTTCTTGGACGTGTCACTATAGATTACATACCCTTATGAGCTCTCGGATACTGTGAGTACCGAGGCGGTTACCAATCACTCTTTTAAGTTCTAGAAGCTTTCCTCACAAGCATCGTTCCATATAAATGGTACCCCTTTTGTCATTAACTGTGTCAAAGGTGAGGTTATTCTAGCGAAGTCTTGCACGAACCTTCGATAGTATCCAACTAGTCCCAAGAAACTCTGTACTGATGTTATCGTAGTTGGTCGTTCCTACTTTGTGACCGCTTTGACCTTAGTAGGATCTATGGATACTCCGTCCTTTGTCACCACGTATCCTAGGAAAGAGACATGTCATAACCAAAATTCACACTTTGAGAACTTGGCATATAACATGTTCTCTCTTAGGGTGGCTAGGACTTTTCAAAGGTGTTCCTAGTGTTCTAGGTTTGTTTTCGAGTAGGCTAGGATGTCATCAATGAGCACAATCACAAAAGTTTCTAGACAGTCCTTGAACACTCGGTTCATTAACTCCATTAACACAGCTGGAGCATCGGTGAGGCCAAATGACATCACCACGAACTTTGGTACATCTTTTTCTTTACTCTTTATTTAATGGTAACCTAACCGCAGATCTATCCTAGAAAATATTGTTGCCTCTTTGAGTTGATCGAATAAGTCTTCTATTCTAGGCAGAGGGTATTGTTCTTTATGGTTCTCTAATTTAACTCTCTGTAATCGATACACAAATGCATCGATCCATCTTTCTTCTAAACAAACAACACTGGCGTACCCCAGGGGAATATGCTAGGTTGAATGAACCCTTTATCCCATAAGTCTTGTAATTACGCCTTGAGTTCCTTCAATTCTGCTAGTGCCATGCGATAGGTGATGGTGTTAATATAACACATGCGGAAGCAATTTGGATCTTAGGCACTTTTAGAACATCAATTATAGTAAATAACTAGCATGTTCATAAGTATTAAAATTTAATGAGTTTGAATACTAACCTTTTGTAGTTCAAATTTCTTTTTCCTCACGAACCGGTTTCGAACCACCAATAGTGTCTTCTCCACTATCCTCCGGCCTTAGAACGGGATTGTGGAATCCGGTGAGTGACTAAACTTGGGAGGGATTTTGTATATATGAAGAGAGTGTTTGTGAGAGGTTTTTCTCAAGGGTTTTCACCAAGAAGAAGACCTTCATGTTTTATAATCACTCTATATATAGAGTCATGTTTGCATGTTCATGAAAATTTGAGATCACAAAATTTTGACAGTCCATATTCCACTCAAATGTTTGGGATTATGTGGCAAGCATGCATGCTTGTTAACCAAATTTTGACACTCAAAATTCCACTCAAATTGGTGAGGTTTATTTGGCAAGCATGCAAGGTTGGTTAAACCAAATTTTGACACCTCAAAATTCCACTAACATGGATTTTTCTATTAAATGAAGTCAACATTTTGACTTTCTTCATTTTGATTCAACAATCAATTTGAATTATTAATTTCAAATTAAAGTAATATTAAATGATTAATTAAACTATTTAATTAATATTTAATATTAATTCAAATGCCAATCCCAATTAATTCCATCACATATTTGATTATGATATTTAAATCTTATTTAAATATCTCATATTCTCTCTTTTTGTTTAATTAGTAAATAAAACAAATATGCGATTAAATATATCGTATATATGTATTGCATTCTCCCTAATTTGAATTCGAACACTTCGAACTCACTCGTCACATTGTTCTATGGTTCAGTCCGATATGAGCTAGCAGAGGGACCTGATGGATCTATAGATCATGGGCTCCAATGATCCAAAATTAACCGGTTAAACTCATTAACCTTGTTAACCAACATTCATTAACTACTAGGACATTCCACTATAGCCTAGTAGTTGCACTCCCCTCACTATAGATATATTTCTGTCCATTTGATATAACCATGATTAGTAAGTCGAACCTTCACAGGTTGTTCGTAACTAAAGCTGGGTTAAATTACTATTTTACCCCTGAAGTTACTTCTTGTTTCTTATGTCTCACTAATCCTCTAATGAACAATTGGTTTGTGGTCCAACCAGTAAACCGAATCCCTCTCAGGCCAATGAGAGGGTGGGGCCCCTTGTTCAAGACTTGGAGTCAGTACTTAAGGGAACTACCTCTCTTCTATCCCTAAAAGTGGGTAGGAGTGAATTCCATCTTGCACCCCACGTTCCCAGCCATTTACCCAGTCTTACCCCTAAAATGGGAGGCCTATTGAGTCGGCGAACTTAAACCACTCTCACCCATGCAAATCTAAGGATAATTCCGAATAAACAGAAGTTCATGGTTAGCTCAAGATTAAGATCGAGTTACCTAGATCATCGAATGAAAAGAAAATCAGTTTCAACAGTAAACGACATTATAAAGTGTGAGTGATTTTCTTCATGGTCCGATCTTATGCAATACTCATTGCATAGGACGCCCCCACTCACATGTCTCCACATGTACAATTTTAGTGATCACATTGTTTATATAATATACAAAAGTGGGCCGCATCCTTAGTGTCCCAGAATAAGGTACTCAGCCTTATCCTTATACTATAGATCATTTTGAATATATACTTGAACTTGATCAACTCTTATGTCTCTACATATAGTCCAAGTATAGTATTATGTCTTTACATATAGTTCAAGTAATCATACTATAGCCAGAGTGTTCTTAGTTTATTGGATTTAGATGAATGATCATAAAGTTCACTTTACTGAATAATAATTTTTACTGAATAAACAACCCTAATAACTTTATTGAAAATAGAATATGTTTTTGTTTACAAAATAGAATAACTTTATAGGCCCATTTTCGGTTCGAGTTAGATGATGAAGTCGACCGCTCAAGAAGAGGTATTCCAGGTAGGTCATCTGAAAACACATCTGGGAACTCGTTTACGATGGACACGTTTTCTAGGGTCTTTTCTTTTCCTTTTACGTCTACGACACATGTTAATATAGTCCAACTGCCTTGTTGAACTAGTCTCTTTGCTTTCATCATCGAGACTACCTTTGAGGTAGTCTCGGTACTTGTGCCTTTAAATTTAAAGCTAGGTCACACCGCTGGTGAGAATATCACTTTTTTTTTTTTTTTTTTTTGCGACAGTCTATACAAGCACAATTTGCAGCTAGTCAATCCATGCCTAGTATTACGTCGAAGTCGGTCATCTTTACTACTATTAGGACTACGTGTAGAGTTTGGTCGGCTACTATTGCTTGGTCATTCTTTACTCTATCCTTAGTTACTATGTCAACCCTCTTAGGGCTGCTTCCCGACCATACATACAGTAAGGGTTCTAATTCAAACCCTGTCTCTAATCTCTCTCGAGGTGGGATCTCTTTAGCCTCACCTCGTCCTCTACCTCTAAAAGGAGGTCGTCCCCTTCCTTGTCTTAGTTTTTCACGTGATCTAGGCAGCATGGTTCTAGAAACCAATATAGCATCTCTTAAGTCTAAGGCCCATTACTTATGAAACTATGTTTGCATCACATGTACTAAGTTCACATCATATTATAAACAAAATCACTCAGCATGCAACACATCATATCATACTCTTAAATAAATACGTGAAATATCACAGCAATTTCAGTAACATTAACATAAAACTGCAGGCAAGTTCAAAAACGTTTCTCTTTTCTCATCTTATGCAAGGCGTACCTGACGGTGACGGGGCATCGACGTTGGGACCATAGAGCGTGCTAAGCCTACATTGTCGGCTAGTCTACAGAAACTAAAACCTAGAGCTCTAATACCAACTGTAACGACACTAAATTTCCACATATCTAGAGTCGCCACTAACGTCTCATGCTTATCTCTAATGCAGAATATAACTCTAAGAATGCTCATGTAACACCCGCTCATCGTTAATGCGATTCACAGGAGCTACCACTAACATCGATAGTAAACTCTAAAAACCAATCATAAATTTCAAAAAATATCCAAAAACATCCACTAAAACATTTAAAACCGGTACTATTTAAAACATAAAACAACTGAAGTAGATTCTTGACAGCGAAAGCATAAGTACACAAAAACAGACACAGATATGGATTCCCAATACCACTGGTCTCGTCCTCGTCCTCGGTTGGCCTGCATCAACTAAATCTGGAAAGAAAAGTTAAATAATTTTGATAAGTAATTAAATTACCCAGTCAGTAGCCAACTTATTTTTCCTGAGTTCATAACTAATCTTTCGAGGTGTTTTTAAGTTTTATTCACCATTGACTCCTAGTTTCTCTTACTAGGGTCATTTGTTCATTAATGAGGTATCTCAGCTACCTCCAGCTTAGGTTACTGACTCTCTCTCGATATGCTTATCTAGAATTTTCGGACTCGTATGTAAGACTCGCTCTCGGTCAAATACAGCCCGTCTACTAATTTCTCTGGCGGCCTATTTATCTCATATACTAACGGTCAGGAGTACTCATGCTCCCTAACTTAGCACATAGAGCATTGGTCAGGAACTTCGCGGGAATTAGTAGACTATCATACTCATATAAATAAGTCATGGCTCAACAACAAAGAAGCATATCCTAGAGTCATAACCTTTCCATTAACATGCATAACGTACTCACATTTATTGCATGCTTTCATACATTTATCATGTTCAACACATAGAACATTCTAGTAATCATTTATAACATGCTTACATCACAGGCAAGCAGTCACAATATATAATAAACATTCAATATCATCAAAGCTCATTTTAACATACTAAGCTCTTAATCATGTAAACAGCGTACTCACGTGTTGTAAACAAGTTAAGAACTAGTTTAAAGAACGACATGCTACTTACCTGATTTCGAACTTCTTTTCCCTTAGATGTACATTTAATAGGGTATGTTAACACAATTCTTTCCAATTAGATCTATATTTCAAAATTTTTAAGATAAGTAAAGACCAATCTTGATAGGACATGTCAAAAGGAGTCAAACGGGACAAATTGGAAGCCGAAATGAGGTCTCACGCGCCCTCACGCACCCTCACACTCTCGGCATGTTTGTCCCACGCGCCAGGAGAACTCCCAATTGCGGCCTCACGTGCCCTGCGTGTAGTGCGTCACGGTCCTAACTTCTTGACCGTGTGGTGTCATGATCTATACACGCTCACGACTAGCCTTAAGGGGAATTAAGCCCCATGTGTATTTTTCGCCCGACTTTGTGGCTTCGTCAGACCTTAGGCGAGGTTTGTCTTCGCCAATCGAACATCGCTTGTGCGGAATCCAAGCTTGTTCAACCACATACGCCGCCTGTGCGTGTATGTTCAATCGTCTGCGACACATCCGACTTGCCTCTACGCTAGGCCAACTCATTCGGCTCGACCTTGCCTTGCCTCTACTCGGGCCAAGGTCTCTCAATATAACGTCGCATCTCATCTTGTCATCTCGATCCCCATCAATAGGGTCCATATGTCTTGGCGCCATCCCGAGTCTCGGGATGTCGTCGGCCATCATAACTCATTCGGTCATGCCATCGAGAATAGGCCCGTGTGTCGTTCATCTCATCAGAACTTCCCGAACATCAATCCATCCGGGTTCTATCGAGGCATAGGCCCTCCCGTGCCCATGCCGAGTCATTTACAGATACTGTCCCGGATAGCGGGTGTATGTAGCATCCTCCAACACGCGGGCTAAGACGCAATGCAAACACACCCGTGCCGTCCGGTCGAACGAGACACTCGTCTCGACACGCTCGCCCATACTGTGACACACATATGTGCCACAGGGCCTAGGGGTGGTGGAGAGCTAACACCATGGTACCCCCTATAGTACATTTTGAGCCATTTTCATTCTACCAGGTGTAGACATGATTTTGGTGAGGTGTCATATGGTGTCGTGCATTGTCCGTCCAATGTCCGATTGACACAAAACTTGGCGAGCATTCATATTTCATATGGACGGACTTAACTCTCGAACCGCATGCCCAAATTCCTTCTGAAATCCTGACTTTTGAGGCTAAGGCCCGGGGCCCTACCTGGCCCTTCAACAAGCCTATCTTGTTCTTCATGTCTATGCTGATGTCTCTATTATGCTTATGTCTCAACATGTCTTCAATACCCACTTTGCGTGGTGGTGTGTTGGATGATGCATCATCCTCCTCGATCGCATCATGGCATTCTTCTATGTTGACCCGCATATGGCCGGATGGGGCGTCTCTTGAGGGACGCCCCTTTGCTTGTCATGGCGTAAGGGTCACAACCTACTCTCTCTTCATACTATGGTTGTGACATAGTGCACGCTCTCCTTCTTCTTCCTTGCGTTTTCTGCAATTTTCCCAACTTTCCTATTAATACCGATTATGTCCCGAAGCCATACTCCACCTCTACAGCCCTTATTTCGTCCCAACTTCCAACGCTGATAGTTTTCACAAGCGTTCCTCTAATCTCAAGCTTGCGCCCCGACAAGGAAATAACCAAACCATGAGTATTTCCGAAAGATTCATCAATTTTAACTCTCCTCCCCTGTTTCCTGTTTTTATTTCTTTTCTGTTCCTCATTTATCCTATTTCTTATTTCATAATTATCATTATTATTATTGTTAATTTCAACCCAAAAACATACCTACCTTAACGTTATTTTATTTTATTTTATTATTTTTTTTTTGGTCATTACAGCCTCATCTTTATTAGCAAAAAAAATTAAAACTTCAAAATACGTTAAAACATTAGAAAACACTACCGGACTTACGTGTTTCAAACATCATGCTCGAGTTCAAAATAAGATAAAAAAATTACAAATTAAATAATTTAAATAAATGAAATGCAAACACCCTATCCTAACCAAGACTAGGACTTTTAAATATGCAACTATCCTATACACACACCATAGTCTCTGATCACGATGCCGCCATCAACCGTACATGGGCGCCTCACCTTTACCAGAAAAACAATATGACCATTTTTTATCATTAATACACTTTTTTACGGTCTCACTTATCGGAGTTCTCTTTAAAACTCTTGAGGTAGATAAAAGTACCGAATTGACAACTTTCATCATTTCTATCATTATACTAGAGAATTTTTAAGTGTTTTTCTTCGGACTCTATTATAAAGTTATGCATAGCTCTAGAGTCGACCATTGTGCTCTTGGCCGATCTATGGTTAACATAGACCTCAATGTACATAAGACCTTGACTCTTTTGGTTTTTTGATGCATGAAAGCAAATAGGTACTTTACGACCCCCAATGCAGGGTTTTTGACGCTTTGGCTCGGAAGGCATAAAGGTCCACCGTTTGTGTGTATTCAGATTCTGGATAGACCACCTTATATATGAAGCTGGACGAGGACCATTGATTGTAGTTGTTCTCACTGTGAAATTCTTGTCATGGATTTCTACCAATCTTTTTGAAAGATTCATAGTCTCCTCCTACTACGTCAAGTCTCCCATGGTTAGGATTTATGCCATAAAGTTTTATAATTAATGATTTAACAATTATTTTATTCGTAATTTTATATTATCATTGTTATGGAAAATCCAAGATGTCACGGCACGAATTTTGTGACTTCGAAACTTGGATCGAAAGTAAAAAGACAAAACTAAAACAAATAACAATATAAGTAAAATAAAATAAAATAAAATAAGAAAATGCAGTAAAATTAAAATCAAATTAAGTTAAACAATACCAGGTTAACATAAAATTACACTGACTTTAAATATATTACAAAGGGGAAAATGGATTTGGATACAACTAAAACAAGAAATAGACAAGACTAAAAAACGGGAAGAAAGACTGAAGTTCCATAACGACCCCCTCTCTAACTGCATAGCTCTCGAATGCTCCTCCACCTTGACTTATAACCTGGGAAAACCTAAAAAAGAAAAGAAAATCGGGTGAGTTTATAAATATACCTAGTAAGTATCCTACTTGTAGGAACAACTTACGTAGAGTAACTAATCTTCGATCTCTACCAATTTATTAGCCGGGACTTGCCCAGTTTCTTTGCAGCAGACATGTTTGTATACTACGATTCAAGGAGCAAACTTTGCTCTAATGCCGCTTATCACAATCACATTCTTGTGGAGCGGGATAGAGATTTTGTGACACATATTCTAAACCGATGAACAAGTCAGCAATATGAAAATTGTAAGTCGTAGACAATTCGGACGTTTGATCGAGCCTTGGTCATGTTTGAAAGAAAGTGTTTTAGAAAATGTAAGCGAAGAAATGCATAGAATCTTCTAATTTTTTTTTTTTTTTTTTGGAAGAAAACAATGCTATAGGCTAAAAGCAAATAAGCAACAACTACAACTTTTATAGCATATAACCCGAATACGAAGAATTGACGACTAGTTTCATCACCCTATAGTAAATTTTGGATCATTTATCCCTAGAGGGTGTAGACATGATTTTGTTCACAGGTCATGCCCGCGTACTAACACAACAAGTAGATTAGTACGCAAGATCTCACTCCTTACGTGAATTATATGCATATGTTAGTTACATCTTATGATCTAATTAGGTTATAATTGGTTACAATACTTAATAACTTATATTTTATTGCATGATGATAGATTATGTACCCTAAAATGTACTTGACGAGGTGGTAGAGCGGGTAGAGCCTTGACTGAGACCGACCCTGCTTAAATAACTTATAAGAAAAGGAAGGCTAAGAACAAGCGTCGGAATAAGTGGATACCATGACACTTCAATCTATGATCTAGACCACTAGGTAAACTAGGGTAACATAAAAAGTGGGAACAATGTCAAAATATCTTGGACAACGAGAGTATTGAGATTTATGCCATAAAGCCTTGTAATTAATTGTTTAATTTTAATAATAAATTTGATTATTTTATTTAAAATTTAACATTATCCATGGTATGAAAAGTCCTAGATCATTGATGTCTTTCTACCAAACCTATCCCTTTCTACCCGTAGCCTAATCGTATTCTTCCATCAATCTCTCTTATCCATATCACTCCGGTATGTAACCTAACCTTAATGTTTCATGAACGTATTTGACTCCTATCGTTACATTTTGTTTTGTGCATCCTTCTCGTATCCTATCTCAAACATATTATTGAACACATCGTACCGTAATTATTATCAAACAATTCACATATTATAACATATACATCACAAATAAGAAGCATATCGATCCACAGATAATTCACACATATCAATATATATGACACGTGCAGAACCACAGAGCACGTGTCAACAACAAATATAACTATGCCGATAGTAAGGTCACTTACCTGGTTGGCTTAGGTTGATGTTCCGTCGTTAACTTAATGAAAGTCCATTGAAATCCAAGTCAACCTATGTGAGCCGATGATATCAGTTTCAAGTTTGAATTTCTACAAAATTGTTTCTCTAATTTATGTTGATCTATGTGTTATACTTCATGCGAACGTTAGAGTCTTTGCTTGAGTTAGATCTTGAAATATTTATATATGTTTGTTATAGTATTATTTTCATTCAAACCATTTAATACCCATTCAAATTTTCTTGTTTAATACCGTTTAACATTTAGAGATAATTTCGATTATATTCACAATCTTCTTTCCATGTCTCTTACTGTTTCCCTTCTTTTGATCCCTCTCTGTTTCAGGATGACTTTTAATATCATTAAATAAAATAAAAGGAAAAATACTAACTTCTTCAAATGCAATATCTCTTGCTAGCAAAACTAAATCTGAACAGTTTTGTATTTGTTTTTGCAGGAGAGAAGAAATTCTGATATGTTAAATTTGTTTAAACCTTCCTTTATATTTTTGTTTCTTACGTTTTAAATTACTAAAAAAAAACTAAATAATTGGATGAAAGAAAAAGAGATCTGAGATATAACTACTGAGAAACCTCAAATCTCTCTCCCATATAAATCTTGATCATCTCTATAAACTCATCTTCTATAAATTTGATGTGAGGCATTTCTGTTTTCTCAAATCTGACCTTTTTGATTTCTATGTCATTTTGTCGGAGAGTTTTTGGGGAGAGTGACATAGTGGAAAGAAACATGGAATAATTGTTTTTATTTACTTATTTATTAATTTATTATTATTATTATTATTATTTTACATAATAATAATTTTTGTTTATAATAATTTATTTATTATTATTTTTTTTGTTTTGGGCGGTTACATATTATTTGGTAAATATTCTCAAATCGCTGTAGAGAAGACCCTAGGGTTGAGCCAAAAAGCATCCCACGCTTTCTCCGTTCCAGAATTTTCTCTAACAATCTCCTTCTCCCGTCCTTGCAAATTTTCTTCCAAGAAGCGACCACGAGGCTTGACTTTGTGTTCGATTCCTAGCGTTGAATATTTTATGGAGGAGATTCAACTATTGGAGAAGTTGGAGCAAGTAGATTAAAAATATGCGAGAACTTTCTCCATATTTCTTCAACATATTTTGTTTAACATTTTGTTTTGTTTAATTCTAAGTAAGATCAAGGACAATTATAATACTTCCACTGCGCTAGTTAAACGTTCATTTCCAACCGATAGGTCAGCGGGACTCTTACAAGTTTGACCCATTGACATTTAAAGGGAAGAACATAGTCCCAACTCGTCGAATAAGAGAAAGATCTAAACACCACAAGCTTGTTATGCCACTTTTTGAGGTAGGTGAAAATGAGACAAAGCGGACACTATCCAATGTGAGTCTTGTGAAGGAGAAAATGTTGACAAGTGGCCAACTATGTCAGCTTCCAATGAAGCCAAATAACTTGAGTACGTGTTCTCATGTGCACTATCTCGATGGTTCAACTACAAAACACCCCCACGAGTCCAAAAGTGTGATTTTGGGACAAAAAAGATATCACAAAGGCTTTATGGAATCTACCCTGTTTTTTTTTTAGAATACCATCACTGTTGGCACCCAACATGCACTTGATCCACCAACCACAGTGAAGGCTCGAGTGAACAACTTTGGCAAGGCCAGTGCTCTTATCCAGCACGAAAGGCGTCCTAAGTTGTTTGTTGAGACCTTGTTTATATGTGTTGATCAAGTCTTACCTGTTGTTTTGGATTTTAGAAATAAATGTTAAGACATGAATTGAGCAGCTGAGTTCAATAAAGACATGAATAATCGTTAGTTTGTCCTATCACGCTAATTCAACCAAAGGAGTATCGTAAATTGTGATTCAACGTCCTAGACATGTATATTTCTGTAACGACCCAAAATTTTCTACTTAATTTAAGGTCTCTACTGTATACATACCATAAACATTGAATGCGGAAGACTTCATTTAAATTCCATAAAACATAACCTTTATCTTAAAACAAAGCCACGAAATTACGTGCTTCGAAAACATCTTTAAAATGACACAACAAAAGACTAAATAAAATGAATAAGAGTTTAAATTAAAAACATCATATTCTAGCCTAAGTCTAAGAAAATAAATACTAATATCTTACGCATGTGTCATGGTCGTCGTCGGCCGTACAAGAATGTCTCGCCTTAACCTGAAAAATGAAGTAGCACATGACTTGAGTATTTAAAGAAACACTCAATAAGTGACCCCACTATTGGGGTTAAATGCAACAATCACATGCAATGAAATGATGGGACCTATCTTTTGTTTCATTTTGTTTCGTTTTCCCTACGGTGCTATCCTAACGGGTAATTTTGGACGTGTACCATATACTCTACACACAGCCCATACGTGTGAGTATGGGCTCACCAGCTAGTTCGCACACCTCTAGGCCACTTTCCTTATCCGGTGGGCATACTCTGGGAGCCACATGATCATCTTCTACCTTGTGACCATTCCGACATGCGTGTGGGGAAGGCTTAGATAGTCCGATATCACCCTTGATCAGAACATTCTAGGCCTCAATTGAAATTGGTTCCTTCACCAAACTTCAAGATATCTTGAACTTGAACATGTCGGTACCAATCTTAGCAATTAACATTAACTAAGAAAAGAGAAATTGAGGCTCAAAATCATGGGGTTAACCAAACTTACCCCGAACTATGGTGACTGAAACTTTTTTCCGTTTGCAAGTTCTAGCCCTCAGTCCATTATGATTTCACCATCTTTGCTATGAACACTAAGAGCCCAGAATTATACCTTATTATCAAGAAATGAGAGGAAATTTTTAGGATTAAACTCTCTTTTTTTGGGTCCCAATACCGATATTTGAAATTCAAATTTGATCAATCAATCCACTGTGTTTCAATTCGAAGTCCTTTATGAAAATGTTGCAATCACCATAAAACTTAAGATCAAGAGTTTGTCAATTTCAATAAAGAGAGTATTTCATGAAGGAAAGGTTCAGGTCTTACTTAATAGTTCATTTCTCCGTTCCTAAGATTGAGCTCATAAGTCCCAAATTCTAACTCTAGAGAAGTCTTGTCCAATGGCTAATGATTAAAAAAAGCCCTAAAAATAACAAGAAAAATATTGGTAGATGGCCACAAAGTCTCAAAGGGAAGTTATTGACAACAAAGAGGGTTTTAAGTTCGAGTTCACTTGCAAATAAATAAGTCTACCCTAGTTTGCGTAAGTATGAACTATTTTCAAAATAGCAAGAAGGAAACATGACAATATATCATACGGTCACGATCATTGGTTCATAATGTGAGATCCATATAGAGGTTCGCGGTAGCTCTTGGATTGTCCTCCTATGGAAGTTATTTGCACGGGTCAATATTAAGTTGAACTCTTAAAAGGATAAACTACGATATCTAAGATAATAAGTAGATTTATTAAGATTGTTAATAATGTGGTTGAGCAAACTAATAGTTACTTAACCAACTATAGGAATAAGAGTTATTCTAGTAGGAATAAGAGTTATTCAAGTATAATATTTCATTGACATTGTCTTGTCTAATGGGAACATTTAGACCCACTCCACGACTGCAATTGTTTTATATCACTAAATACCATACCATAAGAAAAAATTTATTGGTTTCAATTTTTGTCAAAGTTGTTTGATTTTTATGGTAGAATTGGTAAATAATTTATAAGCCCTCTAGAGCATTTTTATTATCCTTTAATCTTAGTACCAACAAGTTTTGCCAAAAATTAGATTTGTCTAATAAGCAACCAGAAGGTTCAACCACACCAGAGGTAGTTCCTTCGGCATTTTTACATAAAGCTTTAGCGATGTGATTCTCGTAAGTTAGGTTTATGTCTTTCAAGCTTAATCCAGTGCAATGATTTATTGGGCTACAATCAAAATTGATTGCTATTTTAGTGGCCGATGTTCTCTTGATGTCTTTGTATGTTACTTGGCTGACTTTAACTCCAGAAGCCTATTAGAATAAAGAAGAACGATCAACGTATGCTACGAAAACTGATAAACAAGGACATCTATAAAACTTTTTCAACACCTAAAAACTTCATACCATTTTAAGATATGTGAGGGTAACTGAGTCTGCAATTTATTACCCATAAAAGTAATTTAATATAACAAAAAAATAATACTAATAATTTAGCACCCATTTTAAACCAAACAAATTTCAAACCATTAAAAATTTGAGTTCTATTCAAATTTAAGGTTAAATATAATTACAAAAAAATTAACTTGTATGAGATTGACGAGAAATTATACTGACCAGGACATTCTTTCTCATGTGGATAGTAATTTTGATCAATTATAATTGGGTTTTTCACATTATCCATAATGATGTGTTGAAAATAAACTTTTGTAGCAAATCCACGGCTTGGTCTTCCCCAAGACTTAATCCTTACTCCATTCTGAGTCCCGGTGAAAGTAGATAATGTCAGTGTAACGTTATGCACTCCATCCTCATCGGCCTTTATCCCCAAGCTCCCAACGCTACAAATACATTCAATAAAATACCAAATTTTTCATGAGGTTTAATTTTCTCACTCTAACGTAATATATTAAATAACAATTTTGATCCAAAATAATTTAAATATTTTTTCTCACCCTCAAAATAACTTTAGAATATATTTTTAATCATTCAAATTTAATTCAACATTTAGTTTTATGTTTTAAAATTTGATGTGACAAATTTATTTAACCCTTTAAAAAAAAACAATTCTAAACATGTTCGTCATAATCTATCTCTAGCTATCTGATTCCATTTCTAGGTCTGCATGTAATACTTTCCATCCACAAGTTGGAGGTCCCTGGACTAATTGAGATGCAGTCATCACCGTTGTTAATGCTCGAGTTGAGGATGATCACATCTGATGCTTGTTGCACATGGATGCCATCAGTGTTTGGACTATCGTCTGCAGCCGAGACATTCGCTCTTGTCATATGCACGTTTTGACACCCATGCATCACAATGTTGAACTTTTGGCTGTTAATCGAAGATAATCTAGTGATGTTCACGTTTTGTGCATCATTTATTTGAAGTCTCTATCGATTCAAAAAAATCAAAAGCAAGAATTAGTATAAATTTAAATTAATATTGTAATTAATCAATTCAAAATTTTCAAATTTTATTTTTTATCTAGCCAACTCAAATTTTGCATACTGTGGCTCCAATGGGGCAACTCTTCCCCGAGTGTTTACAATTCCATAAGGCAGTTCCTTGCCCATCGATAGTACCGCCAGTAATGGAAAGCCCATCTATGTGACTAAACTCAATCCAAGATTTAGTTTTAGCTAAAACTTGAATGTCCGAGGAAGCCACAAGAGTTCCATCGATGAGAACAGTAATAACATTGTTCTTACAAGGCCCATTAAAGCTCACACTTCAAACGTAGAATATACCCTCGGGAAAGTAAATAGTGGCCGGTGTAGACGAGTCACAAGCCTTAGCCCATGTCATTTGAAGCACAGACGAGGCATCGGTCTTTCCATCTGGCTTGGTACTTAGACTAATAATATTGAATGTTAATTCAGTAACCAAAGGCATGGTTAAAAAATAGAAGTAGAATGGAAAGAAAAACATGTCAGGTTACTAAAAGAGTAGGAGAAAACTTGATGATACAAGGGTTGGTGATAAGCATGAGAGAGAGAAAAAGGAAGCAAGTGATAGGAAAATGGAAGATCGGTGGGGTGGAGTGATATGTGTAGGTTAATGCTTACCTTTCTAACTCTAATTTTAACCTAGGCATCTGAAGTACTATTCTATAAGATAAGACACTCATTTCCATTTTAATGATGGACCGTTGGATCTCTCATTTTTAGGATTATAGAATTTAAAAAAAGTTTATTTGTCAATATGATTTTATTTTTTATTTTACTTAAAAAGGGATGGGGAGATCTTAACGGAAAAAACCCTGTTTTTTCCAACCAATTATTTTCTAAAAAAGATGTATAATTTTAATTGTTTTGGTCAACTAAAGAACTATGCAATGTAACAATATCAATTTCATTGACGTTCATTTCTTCTCAACGTCATACTATAATAAGAACAATTTCCTAATACTTTCAGGTGTTTATATTTTTAGATACCGATTCTATATGAATTCTCTATTATAATAAAAATAATCAAATATTCTATAAGATAGTATCGAGAAGACACTATCATATATTTTTCATAGTATTTTTTTATTTGTAGTTAGTGATGTAACATAAAGTCGGTGACTTTTTATTTGCAAAGATGACACACAAATAAAGAGAAGCAAAATTGTTTGTCATATTTGGAAGTATGCAATAAATTTACAAATGCATCACATAAAGAAAGAATTTACGAATGTTACACTTTTCGAAGTCTCAAAGTCTATCATAGATAGACTATATTAATGATATGCTGTTTTTATATCGATCAACAATTTTTTTTTTTATCATTAATAGACTTTTTGTAACAACCATAAATTTTCACATATCTAGAGTCGCCACTAACTTTTCATGCTCATCTTTATTAGCAGAAAAATTTAAAACTTCAAAATGCATTAAAACATTTGAAAACATTGCCGGACTTACTAACTTCAAACATCATGCTGCAGTTCAAAATAAGATAAAAAAAAAATACAAATTAAATAATTATATAAATGAAATGCAAACACCCTATCCTAACCAAGACTAGGAATTTTAAATATGCAACTATCCTATGCACGCGCCACAGTCTCTTATCACAATGCCGCCGTCAACCGTACATGGGCGCCTTGCCTATACCTGAAAAACAATATCGCACACGGCCTGAGTATTTCCAAGAAATACTCAGTAAGTGACCCCACTTTAGGGGCCATGCTAATGCAAACACATGCAATCATGAATTAGGGACCTATCTCTAATCATCTTAAGGGTGGCCTCTAGTCTCGAACAAATTGGATGTGTAGTACTTCCCTACACACAAGTCACATGTGCGAGTATGAATCCCCAGGGTGCTCGCACACCCCCTGGACCCTTTGGTAATGCTAATCTGTAGCGACGTCTGGAGGTCAGCGGAACCCCATAGTGTCATGCGCCTCATGAACACCCTCATCTGTGTGCACTCGCACTTGTGCGTATTCGCGCTCATCATACGGTGCACGTCCGCACTCATCATCTCTAGGGGGAAGTAGCCCTATGCTTATGAACATACAATATGCATGAGGTCCCTTTAAGTCCAATTATACATCTCTTCTGACACAACCCTCTAGTCTCATCTCTTGGTTACACTATGTAGCATGTGCTCGTGGATAGTTACATTAATATCATTTTCATGCTCTTATGGTTGTGTCCTATGTCGATCTAACGACATGATGCAATATGGCAAACAACATCATAAGACATGTTCAACATGGAAAACATCATCATGTTAATAACATCGTCATGCATACATCATACTCATCATAGAAGCCATTAAGTGCAACAGATATAACATGTACGTCATGCATCAAAACATATATAACATACATTTAACAAACATCGCAACACAACGTCATACTCATACATCATCATAATTCAAACAATCTTTAGTCTATCCTATAGTAAGGCCACTCACTTGGTTGGCCTTAGCCGGAGTACTCCCTAATTTAATTAACGTAAGCTTCTGTCCCTCAAGAGCTACTCCAAATGTTGCCGGAGTTCGCTTCCTATCCCACCATACGTCACATTTTGTTAGTATTTCACATTTTAATTAATAATCTAACTAACAATATGAAATAGACTCTAAAACGACCTCGGTACAAATCCAATTCTATGTTTTCATTGTTTCTAAATTGTATTGGGTAATAAACTGCATGCTACTTGTATCATTCAATTCAAATATGGTTTGTAAAAATATTATATTTAATGGGTACAAAATATAATAATTTCTCATATTTTCTATTTTCCTTCTCGGGCTCTATTTATCTCCTCGTTATATTTTGGGTCAGTTTACAATCGGTAGCTAGTTTAATTGATTCTAATTTTCATTTCTTTTCTTTCCTAAAAATAGCATGAATCATCATTTTTTTTCTTAATTTTGTTTTCTTTATTAAAATCCTCCTCTCTTCCATTCTTTTTTTTCTTTTAATTCTAATTCTATTCTCATATCTAAGCTATTTAATTACATGAGCTTTGTTATTTCCAACCATTTCTAAATCTTTCTCTCTTCCCCTGTATTTCTTTTTTCTTTTCTCCTTGATTTGGAAATCTCTCTATTTCTTTTCTCTTTCTTTTTTTTCTTTCCCCCTTTTGATTATTTGATCTATTTCCCAGTCTCCCTCTCTTTCTTTGTATTTCTTCTGACTCTTTTGTTCCGATATCATATCTAAATAATTGCAACAGATTAATATCCTTCATAAGAAAAAAAAAAAATAATAAATCTGAACTACTAACCTTTTCAAATGACATCTCTCTTCTATTATCTGTCTAACCATCTCTCCATTATCTATCTTTCTTCTCCACAGATTTTTTTTTTTTTGTTTGTTTTTTTGTTTATTTGCAGAAATATTGATCTAGATGAGAGAGGTATTTTAGGTAGAGTGAATGTGATGGCTAACTTTTAGTTCACTTTTTGTTAGGTAACTATTTTTACGTTAAACCCACTGGAGTGGTGGATAATTTATTTTTTAAATATCCCAACTGAATAACAAATGAAATCATTAACATTTAAGTCATTGGTAGTATATCATTGTGGAGGAGGCAACTTTATCAACAGTCATCAAGTAGAATAGCTCAGGTGGTTGGAGTGTCAACTTAACAACACACAGGTCTCAAGTTCCTTGAAGAAAATGCAAAGTGCGAAAATACACATTGTGGGGTCCATCTCGGGCAGGCTCACTTACGCCTCCACGACGCCTTGATGACGGGCGTCGAGTGGGCCTTGTTCTTGATGCTGATAAGTCCAACAACAACGAGTGGCCTAGTGGGCAATCCAACATCGAGCAGTTGCGGAAGGAGCTCTTGGAGATTCGTTTTTCGAGACATTACTTGATGTGAACAACCTAACGGTGGAAGAGGTGACTGGAAGACTGCGTAGCGTCGAGCAGCAGAAGAAGAATGCTGCTTTGGCTGTCGACAAGGAGGGTAGTCTACTCCTCACAGAGGAGGAATGGCTTGCACGCCTAAAGTTCCGCGACCACACTGATGAGAGCAACGGGTCCTCCAACTGCAAAGGCGGTAAGAAGCCATGAAAATCTCGTGGGTACATGCGCAGGAAAAAGGCAAATCAAAAGAAGGAGTCGACTAACGACGGTCCAATCCAGTGCTCGTACTGTGGGAAGAGAGGTCACCTGAGCAAGAATTGTTCGAGCAGCTTAGGAACAAGGAGACGGCTGGAGCAAGAATTGTTGGAGCAAGCTCAGGAACAAGGAGACAATCGAGAAGGCCCATGTGGCTCAATCTGAGGAGGATGAGCCGGCTCTTTACATGGTGAGTGCATCAGTCCTACCTGTCCCTAATTTTGATTCAAAATCCACGAAGGTAATCGGCGACCGTGTAGCTGCTCCAGTGAGCCTCGAACCCGAGGAAGAGCTCCAGCTGGGCGTAACAAGTGCATCGCCTAAGGAGCCAATTCAACTAAAGGAGGAGCGAGTGTTCGCTCAGATCGGCGAGAGGGACGAGCAGCAAGAGCCACCAGCGATGGGTCCTCGACACAGGGGCGACAAACCATATGACTGGGGCCAAGTCTGCGTTCTCTAAGCTCGACTCGGGGATTTACGAGACGGTTAAGTTTAGCGATGGCTCCGTCGTTGAGATCGAAGGACGCTACACCATCCTGTTCATCGGCAAGGGAGGCGAGCACCACAAGCTGATCGGCGTCTACTTCATTCCAAGGCTTAAGGTCAACCTTGTGAGCCTGGGTGAACTCGATGAGGCCAGCTGCTACATTTCATCGAGCGCAGGCTACTCAAGATCTATGATGATCAACGACGGCTGCTCACACAAGTTCGGTGCATGACAAATCGTCTTTATTCCTTGAGTTGAAGATAGAGCAACCAGTCAGCCTCTCGGCCAGGACCGAAGAAGTATCTTGGAGGTGGTACGCAAGGTACGGATACTCAAACTTTCCTGCCCTACAAAAATTACATAAGGAGGATCTAGTGCACGGTTTTCCAGCAATCAAAGGTGTGAATAGGCTATGCGACGGGTGTCTCATCGACAAGCAGAGACGCACCCTCTTTCCGTCTCAGGCATCCTACCACGCTAATGAGCCATTGGAGCTCGTGCATGACGATATCTGTGAGCCCATCAAGCCGGCGACCCAAAGCAGCAAGACTCTCTTCCTCCTGCTGGTCGATGACAAAATCAGTTTCATGTGGCTGATTCTACTGCAAGCGAAAAGTGAGGCAGCATAGGCAATTAAGCGCATTCAAGCAGGAGCGGAGGCCAAATGCGGGAAGAAGATACGAGTGATATGCAGGGACAGAGGTAGAGAATTCATCTTGACAAGCTTCGATAAGTACTGCGACGAGCTCGGTATGCAGCGGCACCTAACGGCGCCCTACTCCCCCTAACAGAACGGGGTGGTGGAACGCCAAAATGAAACCATCATCGGGACAG